AACATCTTGCAAAAGCCACTCTCTTTTCTTTTTTTCTCCCAAACGATGGAGTTATACAGAGACCGTGACACTGAAATATCATTGAAGATGATATTGGAGGGCTCAGTCCCATGACCCTTTTTAATGTGGAGAAGTGGTTTGGTCTTTGAAACTAGTAATGGGAGGCTTGTGGGCTTGAATGGAGGGCAGACTCCTGCTGTTACGTTCACCGACGAGCCTTATATATATATTACCTCTCTCCACGCTCTTCCACGGTCTACCACTGTTAAATCCCAAGTAGAACGCTGCTGGACTCATTGTAAGTTATGTTTAAAGATTGCAGCGTCTGCTCAGCTAATACATCTTGTAATACTATATAATTTTGTGTGTGGTAGGTGATGCCGCACCAGTCAAATGGTCACTTAATCCAGACAACCAGTGTCCCCCCTGGTCCTGCGTGCTTAAAAGTGGTCAGGCACTGGTAGTCTTCCAGACAGAACAGAAGCTGCCTGGGCCAGTGGACTGATGACATATTCTGTCCTGTCCTCTGTTGGCTGTGAACAAGTAGCCCTAAACTCTTCTCCTTTTGTCTGGCACTTGACTCAGGTTAAATCCGTCTTCCCACCCACTGTCTGTCTAGAGTTTCTCCCTTCGGGCAGAAACCTGTTTACATTAGTGCAGGAATCATCATCATCAATTGTTAGTTCTTGCTGTTGCAGAAAGCCATCACCCCCTATTCACAGTCTCATCTTTGTCTTTAGTGTCATCATTCTTCTTCTGTCTGCACACATGCTTTAATCAGATGTTATTTATGTCAGTGTGTATTTCAGATGTTGTATTCCTTTACTGATTCTTGCTTCAATTCATTTTCCTCTTTGCTCTCCGTCTTCCTTTGCTATGCTTGAGGCAGCCTTTCCCTTCTTTTTCGGAAGAGGAATAAGGAGGTAAATCAAGCCTTGAGTGGATTAAGCTAAACAGTACACAGCTGCTTCTGTTGCTGCCACCCCTGTCTGCCACCATTTGTCTGTACAGATGGACCTCTAGCATGTTCACAATACTGACCTGCTGAGAATGCTCCCACATGTTGTCACAGTCCTCTTCCCCCAGCAGTCTGGTGAGCCTCATGAACATTGTGCTCTCTATATGTCCCTGGAAGATATATGAGGGAGGTCAATAACTCATTCAGCACCTGGGAGAAAATGCAGGGGGGAGGAAATTGAGTCGAAACCCAACATTCATTTCCTGTATTCGAACAAGTTCATTTTCACCAGACAGACAGTTTGTCTTTCTCTATGTAGTTCAGTTACAAGATTGAAGGGGGGTCCCTTAGCATCCGTGCTGTACAGTTCAACCCATATCATTTTGGACAAATGTGTCTCACAGCAGCCCATGTGGCGTAGTGTGTAAGTAAACACTGCCAGAGTTACAATGTCATAGCGAGGGTCATTTTTTACAACCATGCAAACTCTGTGTTGTCAGATTAGTCCCTGTAATTTCCTCGTCTTGCTATGCTCTAGAAAAACCCCCTGAGGCCGTTGACCTATGTGACTAGCAATTTGATGCATATCATGTTTAATGCATTTCATTGTCTGGGATTTTTTGTGTGTGTGTGTTTTACATAAAGGGGATCTGTGAAAAACACTGTTATTTTCTTTAACCACTGTGGAGGTGTGGGCGTGCGAGGGGAAGTGCTGTTTGGCAGTTAAAGTGGTCACTTCCTCTGTACGGGAAGCTTCGCAGGCCCTGGCCTCTCCGCTTTCTCTGAAGACTGTTTGGGCCATCCTGCGCATCATTATGCTGGTCTTCTGGACCTCTGGTCTGGGCTGGTCCAGCGCGAGCCACAACAGAACATAGTGGTCTACTACAAGACACTGCCAGGTCCGCCGCCGCACGAGAGGGTCCAGAATAGTCTGGCCAAAACAAATCAAATGAAGCCAGACCAGCCCTGCAAGAAACAAATCAGTCCACCCTTTAGTGGTGAAGGTTTGGCCCAATATTGTTTCCTTTCTTCTTCCCCCCTCTCTCATTTTGTCTCTCACTGTCTGTGCTGGACACGGTTTCTGATGTTACAGATCTATGTGTCTATACATCTGGCCCTGGATTTATTTCTCTCTCCACTTTTTATGGTGTCCACACACACTGATTTTACCACCACTGTGGTTGTTTTTTGGCTCATTTCCTCTCTCTCTCTTTCTACCTCCATTTCTCCTCCGCGCTTGTCCACCCATACATTCTTATATTTAATTTCAGCTTTGCAGAGTCCTTGTTTAGCTCTTGGCTCCTCTACATCTCTTTCTGTTGTTGTTTGAAACTGGATTTTCTCTGGTTCACAGGGTTCAGCCTGACATAGTGACCCCCAGAAGGAAAGCACAGTGGCAGCTTGTCGTTTTATCTTCTTCCCCCATTATGTTATTATTTCTGATCAGCTAATGGAGTTGATGTGTTTCCCATAATGTGCCATTGGCACACATCACACAGCCTGGATAGGGAGGAATTGTGTCAGAAGGAATAAAGTATTGAATCACTGAGAGTGTAGACAGGAGGGGAGACTTCGCACCTGGGGAGAATAATGCTTCGGGACCTCTCACTCTCTCCTTCCCTCCCTCGTTCCCTTCATCTCCTCCTACCAGTATCTCAGCACTGCCAATAGTAATGACATTACCATATCTCTTCCCCCCCCACTCTCAAACGCCCTCCCTACACCCCTCACTTCATCCCATGTCTCTTTAAATCTTTTTTTTAATATATTATGTGAGATGTTCTGTTGGGAGTTCCAAGTTGTAAAAGATTGAGCGGGCCAGCTGCCCTCAGGCAGGATTGTGTTAGCTTAAAAAAGCTAGAAAGTTTCTGGTGATGAGGACCACAGAACCAGGCATCGGATGATCACATACCAGGGACAATATCACACACCAAGCTAGAGTAAAACCACGGGGGTCGCTGTAATGACTGGTGCACATGTGTTGTGTGTAAAACCTCACTTGTTCAGTGGCTTTTTCCTCTCCTTTGTTATACTTCTTTCTTCACCACAGAACTTTTGGAGAAGTGAGGTATGAGGCGCTAACACTAAACAGAGTCCGTGTTGTGAGCTGAAGAACGGGGCAGAATATCATCTTGATGTATCCTGTGCGTCGGCACAAAGATCTCTGAGACTCGAACCCCACATCAGCTCCAAATGGAAAGCAGAGGGTTGAGAGTGGCAGGTGACACTCCATCTATCTGACTGCCCAGCAGCAGCAGCACTTGACATGAGCTGGGTTCGTCAGCCACGGCTCTCCCGCCAAATGGCCTGAGCTGCCAGCACACACTTGCTCTAACCCAGTCAGAGAGCCCGCCAGTTTAGTCAGTCAGTCATTCATCCAGCCAACGACATCAACCATTGTTTTCAATCAATCATTTTCAGCTCGGAATTACTCCACTTGCGTCTGTGGTGCCTCTTTTCTTCCTCCTTCCCCTCTTTCACCCTGTCCTCTGATGAAAGACGCTCTCAGAGAGGTAGCCAAGCCGCTCAAGTTTGTTTTGACGTCTCGATGGCTCCGCTGTGAATGTGTTTAGATTTTCTTCACATGATCGCATGTTACTTCAAAGGCTTTAAAGCACCGTGCGGTTGTGTTTGAGCAGTTTGAATCTGGGGGGCCTTCTCTGGTGCATTTGTAAAGGGGTCTTTGATGCATATAACCCGGCCTGACTGCGCTGACCTTTAATGTATCCCGTGGTTAAGTGGATCAGAGCCACACTGAAGACCAGAACAGAGCAACAAACAAGTATCTGCTACTACTCTCCATCAGTTGTGCTCCAGGACTCTGTTGTGTTTGGAAGGAACCCCGCTCACTCGCTGGTTTTGTGCTCTCTCCCTCTTGAGTGCCTCGCCTCCCCTCTGCTTAATCTTGAAACCATCAGCTCCCCAGTCTGGTTCCCTGTAAATTGAATTTGAAATATTCATTCCTTTTATAAGCCCGGTTAGTAAACCCCGAAAGGCCTTACAGAATTCAGCATGTCGTTGTGAAGGGAATCAGATTCGGGACTGCTGATCCTTTCACCCCTTTTCTCTCACTGTCGCCAACAAACTTTGCTAATGCTGTGGCGGTGACCTTTATACGGGCCACATAGGCCTGGATAAATGCAAAAGTCCACTGTCCTTATGAGCTCATGACATCAGTTGGTGTGCTGCCAAGCCTGTTCACTTCACTTACCTTAAATCCAGTTCTTTTAAGTGCCAAAGGTTTTTTCAGTTCAGTTCAATTCCATTTTAGGCTTTCAGTATTAAGAATATTGACACAACCAGTGCAACAGCCACATAGAATCTATCTCGAGTACTTCCAAAACTGTTCAGCAAACACACATGCACTCTACTCCAGAAGCTGATTGTTTGCAATCAAGAAAGATGTGTGGATGGAAATCCTCCCGAGGCATGTGTGCCATCTGTTTAGCTGAGAAGAAGAAGGTTAATATTGAACTTTTCAACTGATCAAAAAGTAGAATTTCTATCTGCCTGGCATGAAGTTTTTGGAGTTGTTTCTCACTGGGGACAGCGGCGTTCCTCAAACAACAGGAAAGGCTGGGACAATAGCAGGAAGTAGAGGCTGGGGGGAAATGCTTTATTGCCCCTATGTTTCCTTTTCCTTCAAGTGACAAGCAGTAGAGTTGCGTTAGTGTTTTTTTCTGTAGCTTGTAGTACTTTTTGTGTTTGTTTATTTTATGTGTATCCATATGAGTGACTCTGAAGAGAGAAAGAAACAGAGCGTGCACCCATAGATGGTGTGTGTGAGCTTATAAAACCTCTACTACAAGCATTTATGTGTATCCTTACAAATGCATGTGTTGTCTTGTTTGTCTCTAGAATGTGTGTTGGTGTATATGTATTCATGCCCACGTACTGCACTTCTGTTCTTTTATGTTTTATTAAACTACAGATGTATGCACATCTGTCTCCATGCATGTGTTTTTCGTGTGTGACTGTGCATGCATGCGCTCATACCTCCCACTGCCATACCGACCCTCTGTTTCCTCTCTGCTGTGTGCAGGTCTGTATGAGCTGCTGGCCGCTCTGCCCTCCCAGCTGCAGCCCCATGTCAGCCGCCCCGAGGACAACACCTTCCTCCAGGACATGTTTGGAGAGAGAAGCCTCCACTCGCTGGTCAAGGTAAAACAAAAAAAAGCACCTCTTTTTTTTGTAGAGTTATCTGTTAAAACTTTGGTTAATGGTTCAGTATTTTTTATTTTAATTTAATACCATGTTGCTATTGCTAGGGAACTGCATTGTCGAAAAGCCAATTCATATCCACCACGGTTGACGCACTAAAGTTCTTTAAGTGCATACTATCCAACTAGCAAAAAATCATCATTCAAATCATGTGTTCTTTAACCAGCACGTACATTATGTCTTTTAAGGAGTGATAGTTTTTTAATCATGAATAATTCAATTTAACTAGCAACCTCACCACAATGGCACTTGCCTTGCTTTGTTGAAATCTCAATAATAAATAAAAAAATATGAAATAGCGTAGCGGAGTAAGTAATCACAGCCTCAGGCCAGACAGACAATATCTATTTTAACATTGGATCTGGAATCTTCCTAAAATCTACGTCTAAATCTACTCTGCCCACCTTTAGTCACATCCTTCCTCTCGTGGGACGAGACAGAATCTGAACCCTCTCTCCCGCTGCTCCCGCCGCTTAGGCGACCTCTCCAATTCACATAAAAATACACACTTGCACCTTTGCTTAACACTGCTTTATTCAGCCTCCTTCCTTGCAGTCTCATTCAGTACAGTACTAAGTTTATTGTCATTCCAACAGTCTACCCACCCAGATCTTCTAACTTCCCCTCTGCCAGCGTGAATGGACCTGTGGTCCGGTTACTGCCTATTAAACTGTGGAGAAGATGAGCATACTTGATATCTTTGTACGCTAGCAGACAGACAGAGGTAATGAATGTAACACATTCTGTCTGTCTTGTCTAACCTCGTTTTCACATGGGATCCTCTGAAATCCGCATCTTCGTCTTCATCTCCTGCTATTGTAAAGGGAACAGGAGGGTTTTGTCATATTGGGTTTTTGTACTGGAAATCAGCTTGTTTGTCAGTCACTGAACCAGTAATGTAACAACTGCTACAGCTCTTTCTCTCGTCCATTGAGGAGAATCCTTTAGTTTACTAAGCAAACTTCTTGTAATTGTTAGAGCTACATTGGACTGCATCCTTTGTATATAGTCTCCATGTTGAAAGAATGACCAACACTGTTTTCATCTGCTGGCATGATATATTTCCGCCTTTGGTGGTCTCTCTTTCTCTCCAGCCAGAATCATTATGTCACAGAGACGATTGAGAGAGAAAAATCGACATAATTTTCATCCCCTCCCTTTAAAGAAATCTTTTCTGTGTAAGCATGTTTGTTCAGGATCCAGGGCTGTAACGCGCCAATGTGAGTGTGTAAAAGTGCCTGAATTATGGCATACCTCAGACGCTGAAGTTAAAACCCTGATGTCGGGACTTGAGGAAACCAGAAGGGTTTCATTTTATGCCTGGATTGTTATGAATGGCCAAAGAATAAGGCATCTTTAACATGGATAATGATGGGCAGGTTGAGGCTCTTATTCTCGCCGGCCCCAAAGAAAACACTGCATAGTGTGGGGCAGAGAGAATGATGCTAATGAAGGTGGCATTATGTTTCTGTGATATTTAGCCAGGCATAAGGGTGGAGCTCCAAGAATTTACCTAGCCCTCTAACCACCCCTGATTATACCTAGCTAAACTTTCAAGAGGAACTCGAAGGGGCGAAAGTGTCAGTGCTATGTCCTCACAGACTCTTGACCTGGACCTCTGAAAGCTTTGCACCAATTGCTAGAAGAATTTGTCTTTAAATCGTCAACAAAGTAGATAATTGTCCTCTGCAATGTTCTCCATCACTGCTGTCCAATACTCCAGAGAATCTGAGTGGATATAGTTAGAAAAAATGTTTTTTGAGAATCTCTGCAAAAAAAAGACGGCAAGGGTAAGATGGAGCATAACATGGGCCTCAAGATCAACAGGGGGATTAGTGCAGCATCGGCAGAAATCAGGCATTTTACTGGACTGTTGTAGAGAAGAGGAACCATGAAAGGGTTCTTGTTTTACCATAAATCTTTTTTTGCTTAGTGGAATTAGATATGGATTAAAAGCAATCAGTGATGAGCTGGATCAGTTTCTCTTCCATTGAAAAGAGCCAGTTCAGGTTGTTCAGGTACCCTAATCCGATGGTCTATGTGTGCCAGGAGGGTCTGAGTTAATTTGCATAGCCTACTTACCAAATAAGTGTTGATGAATGGATTGATATATAACAAGATGTCCATGCAATGCAAATCATATCATTGGCAAAATAGCAGAGAGAACTCCTGGCTTCTCCATCCTATTTTCTTTCTTTTTTTTTGTCGAAACTGCTTACAAAGGGAAGCCCATCAAAATGGGCTTAGTGACTGTCAAAAACAGACTTTTCAGATGTGTGTGTGTATGCATGAAAGAAGGGTTGAATGGTAAAATCAACTTACCACTTTGTTCATGTGCCAGCAAGATACTGATTGGTTCTTACTTAAGGTCCCACGTCAGTACTGTTCATCAGTTAAGAGCTAACCTAATGGGACCCAATTCACTATTGCTACTGCAGCAGAATAAATACCCACAACACAGCCACGAAATTGATGATTTGAGTTTAACATCAAAGAACCTCATTATTTCTTCACCAAAACAAACCTGTTCAACCTATTATCTTATTCTTCCTTTTCATTCAAAGGAGAGAAACTGAGCTGCTTTTAGCGTCTCTTATCGTTAAGGTGGAGGCATAAGTGGAAACTGCCACACTCCAGACAAGCAGAACTATGTGTTTCCTCTGCTTTCTACTTGGTACTGAGACGTGAGCCAGCCTGTCAGCTAGTGAGCCAAATGGACAGACAGGCAGACTTTGAAACACACAGAAGTACAGAACAACCATCTCGCCTTACAGCACAGGCCTTCACTGAGACGCATTCAGGTGAACATGGCTAACGTCAGTGGCACACCATTAATAAAACCTTAATTGTCCCCTTCCTCTAAAGCCCCACCACCAAATCTCCACAGATTCCACCTTTTATTCCACAAGGCTGTGAAGGGGATACTTTGGGAATGGCTAAACAGCGGAGAGAAAACACACACATCATGTTAATCCGACAGGCTCGACAACCCAGGTCACTCATATGGAAACGCTCAAGCCTCACCTGGGTAATTATGGCGCATCAGTTACTGGTCAGTCTGTCTGGAGGGAGAGAGAAGGACCAGAGGAAGACTTGTCAGAGATGGAAAGAGAGACAAGAAAGAAGAAGAGAGAATTCCGACCTACACGAAGACTAAAACCAGACTCAGGTTCTTACTGTCTCTCCTCACCTGCCCTCATCAGATGGTTGGGACAGCCTCTCACGTCCCTCCTAATCCTATTATGTCACAGAGATAAAACAAATATTTTCTAATATCATCTTTCAACATGGACTGGGGCTCTCAAGTTCACCTAATTTTGAAGACTTTTCAGCGGGGCAGCATCAGAGCTGACATGAAATGTGAGTACTGGCGTGTATACCTAGCATAGCTAAAATGACAGAGAGTTCCCCTCTTTTCAATTAAAGGGAGTTACTCAAGTGTGCTTTCTATAAATTCCACCACACTCACTGTTCCACTGCCAAGTTCCAGCTCCACAAAAAGCCACAGGAAATATAATACAATATTCAATTTCCACCTGCCTCAGGTGGGGCTCTCCTTTACGACCAAGTTTCTGTCAGCAGGCCTTTAGCCAGGCCCAGAGATCCCTCATTTTGTGGTCAGTCAGTTTTCCCTTAAATTCTGCTCCTGTTAGTTGCTAATAGGCTTGGCGCTTGCGTCGTTGTTACACAGCAATATTGATGTGGGCTTGCCAGTTTGTTCTTCAGCGCTACAGGCCTTTTAATGACATGTAAAGGTGCTGCAGCTGACGCTTGTACCCAAGTGGAAAGTTTCGGCTATTTTTGATGAATGAGCTCATTTTCAGACAAACTGGACTGTATTCCTTGAGTACCAGACTTGGTATCCCATGAATAACTGGATCGAGCTCTAGGTAGCCCTCCAAGTTTTATGACTCACCCTGTAATGTCCATCAACCCTACTCCTTGAGTGCAACTATATTCTTGCCCTCAGGGCACTCATCTTATCCTTTACATACCTTAAAACATACCTTGCTGTCGGTCCCCATTACTCAGGAAGATCACAAAAAGGAAATTATTCTAAACCTCTCACCCTGCTACTATCTGTGAGTCATTTAAGCCTCATACCCTATATGCAGTAAAACCTGGCTAATCGTCTCTGGTTCAGGACTCAGTCTGTAAACCTATACTACCTTAGAGATCCATTCGTACTGTCTGTGGTCAGCACGTCCTGTGCACTGGTCGCCTCTGAGGTCTGTATTTATTATTTTGGGGGAACGGGAACCCTTGTGGGGAGTTAAGCAAAACCTGAAGGCTGCTTTGGAGAAGGGAGCTTCCATCCTTAAAAAGAGACAACCTTCATATTCCTCTAGCCCCCTTGAGCAACTGAGTTTGTCAACTCAGTGTAATTTCTTGTGTTCTTTTAAAAAAAGCTTGGGGCTTTGGTATGGTAGTGATTGTAAATTAAGAAACTTTGCGCAGACTTCGGTTACAGTCATTCAACTTGCCATTAGTTGCTAGAAAATATTCTTTCTGACACATGCCGGGTAGTTATTTACGGTCTGAAAACCTCACTTGAATCCAAAATAAATCCCCTTCCTTGCAATGTTATACTCTGCGCTTAGGCTACCTTCCAAATATTTTCATAGGAGTTTAATGGTCGACTACAGCATGAAGTCGAAAGATCATGCTCAATGTCCACAAACAAGCGCCTCTGAATTAAGCCAGAGAGCTAGATGAATAGAAGATGGATGAAGCCAAAGGCAAGGTTGTGATAGGGACAGGGGAAAGGAGGAGGGAAACTCCTTAGTACAGCAGACAGGCTGCAGTATGGCCTGTTACTGTATAACCTTAAAACTCATTGACTTGAACCATGTCTCGAGCACTGGGGGGACAGTGAAAACGGGGAGAGGCCTACAGATCCACCAGTCCCCATTCTATCAGTCAAATGTCTGTATTGGTAA